GATGTAAGGCAATGTCTTAGTAGTACTGCATATTCTGGTGGCATGTTATTTTCATCTAGTTTCCTAGTTATAATTGAGATGCAGTCTTCAACAGGTAGACATGTAAATAGAGACTGAACATCAAAACTGACCATGGTTTCATTGTCAGCAAGACGTAGGTCTTTTATCTCACTGACAAAATGGTATGAATCCTTAGTATGTGCTCTTGTGTGTCCTCTGAGTGGTGATAATATTTTGGCTAAGTATTGAGCTAATCTGTACGTTGGCGAATCGATTTAACTCACTATTGGACGTAATGGAGCGTTAGGTTTGTGTATTTTTGGTAACCCATACAACTTGGGAGGTTTTGCACACGAAGGTATCATCGAATTGACGTCTAGATTCAATTCGATGATACCTTCGTGTGCAACGTCGTGAAACGTCGGGTATTAAAATTAATATAAATAAAACGCGATAAAATCCGTAAAAGTAGTTTTAATCAATGTATAGTGTTCGCGTAAATATAAGAAATCATTATGTAAACCAGTACGGACTGGAAATAGCAAATAAAATACGCCGATTAGAAGATCTAATGACCAAGTGCGCAAGATACATAACAGCTTTAAATTTCTTGAAGAGATGCAGAGATCATAATCTCATTCCTACGTGTGTCAAGATATCTACTAAAAAAGACATTCGAGGAAGCGCTAAGATCTTAAATCAGGCGAGTAAAAAGTTGTTAATAACGGTGATTCAGCAAAAATGTACCGATCTATGTTTCATAAACAAAACCATAGACAATTCGTCCAGTGAATGAAAGACAGTTTTATCGACATTTGATTATAAGAATTGCATGGAAACTTTAGATAAACGTGAAACAACTAAATACAATGAATGCAAAAAATAAAATTATTGATAAATACCAAAAATTAACAACTAAATCAAATGTCCAACATCAATGGCAACGTAAGAACGAAACGACCACAGACACGAATAGTAAACAAGGCGTAGTCTATAACCTGTCAAAACATACTCTGGACGACGCCACATTAAAAGTTTTAGGAAGAGGTTTTAATTATGCAATTACACCGCGGAGAATCCCGTATGAAGACATTATCTGTAGTGTTGAGGATCGTCTGTATAAAAATAATATTGGTAATGAAGATTTAGAGGCCATACGCCAAGACATTTCGTCTATGTTACGTCGAAGTACAGCGCCGAAATTAAATCTTCCCAAAAATGAATTTAACGCGTTAAAAACCTTACGCAACAAACCAGACCTTACGATTCTCCGCGCAGATAAAGGAAATGCTACGGTTGTAATGGATACGTCGGATTACAATTTTAAAATACAACAACTTTTGTCGGATGAAAGTACGTACCGTAAGGTCAAAACAGACCCTACAACTAATACGCTTAAAATAACTAGCGATCTAATTAAGAAATACTCCGAGAAATTGAATCTAGACGTCAATTCGATGATACCTTCGTGTGCAAAACCTCCCAAGTTGTATGGGTTACCAAAAATACACAAACCTAACGCTCCATTACGTCCAATAGTGAGTCAAATCGATTCGCCAACTTACAGATTGGCTCAACACTTAGCCAAAATATTATCACCACTCAGAGGATACACAAGAGCACATACTAAGGATTCATATCATTTTGTCAGTGAGATAAAAGACCTAAGTCTTGCTGACAATGAAACCATGGTCAGTTTTGATGTTCAGTCTCTATTTACATGTCTACCTGTTGAAGACTGCATCTCAATTATAACTAGGAAACTAGATGAAAATAACATGCCACCAGAATATGCAGTACTACTAAGACATTGCCTTACATCTGGCTATCTATTGTGGAAGGAAGAGTTTTACAAGCAAGTAGATGGTGTTGCGATGGGCTCACCTGTATCTCCCATTGTCGCCGATACATTCATGGAAGACTTTGAGGAGAAAGCCCTCCTTACTGCACCTGTTACCCCAAGGTTCTACAAGCGGTACGTAGACGATACTTTCACAATTTTACCATCAGACAAAGTAACTGCATTTTTAGAACATCTTAATTCTATAAACACTAAAATTCAATTTACTATGGAGTTAGAGGCAAATAATTCCTTACCTTTCCTAGATGTGTTAGTCATCCGAAATCCTAACAACACCATAGGTCATACTGTGTATAGAAAAAAGACCCATACAAACCGATACTTAAATGGTGAATCTCACCATCATCGTTCACAGTTAGCTACCGTGGGCAAATCTTTGTTTTAGAGAGCACGAGGGATCTGTGACAGCAAACACCTGGCCGCCAAGCTTCAGCACGTCAAGCAGGTACTGCACGATAACAAGCTTCGGGTCCCGCGCCTCCGTCACAGTGACCGAGTGAAGCCGGCCACATTCGAGCGTGTGCCTGCTATACTACCATATGTCAGAGGTGTCACAGACAAGATTGGCTACATCTTGTAGCGAGCTTCTATTAGAACATTCTACAAGCCGCCGAAGAAGATTAGTCAGTTCTTACCATCCGTCAAGTGTCATATTCCTCTACAAGATGCAGGAGTGTACAAGCTTGATTGTGATTGTGGTCTATCATATATAGGGCAAACAAAGAGATCAATTAGAACCCGCGTAAAAGAACACATAGCTGACGTGAAGCATCAACGTTCCGGGAAGTCTGCAGTTTGCGATCATATTCTAGATGGCCCCAACCATTACATTAGATTTGATAGACCACAAATCCTCGCGAAAGAACATCGATTCCTACCAAGGATGATACGTGAGGCTATTGAAATTAAAAAACATCCTAATTTCAATAGAGAAGGAGGCTGGGTACTACCACCTGCTTGGGATCCTATAATTAATAAAATTAAAACTAAACCCAAACATACCACTGCAAGACTTCAAAATACAGTTAGTTCATTCTGCGTAGATCGGACCAAAGACAATAATTAAAAAGTTGAAGGTACTCCGGGTTAACTTTGACATCGGGACGTCAGTCACCTCAGTACCCCGTGACCATGGGTGCTGGAAAGCACCCGAAACGTCGGGTATTAAAATTAATATAAATAAAACGCGATAAAATCCGTAAAAGTAGTTTTAATCAATAGATAAAAATTTCCAAATTGTAGAAGGAATGTAGCATCCAACATCTGCGTGCGAGATGTCTGCAAATACTAGAATTAAAAATTCAGCTGCCGAAGTGGATATTAGGGCCATCCCTCCCTTTTATGAGCAGTAAGTTTTTAAAAGGTGTTGAGAAGAAGAAGAAACTTTTTGTACGAATTTTAATTTAATTTAAAATTCAAAAATTTTACTTAAGCCAATAAGATCTATTAGTAATATTCTTAGTTAGTTTATTATTAATTAAATAATTTCTTAGACTCTTAATGTGCGATCTGCGCCATGTAAACGGTGCAAATAGAACTTAATCAAATATTAAATTGTTTATTATAACCAGACTTAAGTGACTTATAGACGGTATAAACGTAAATGTAGACCATCGTTTAGTATTAATTATGTGGTCATTCAATGTGATTCCAATATTTTATGTTTAGTCTTAACCGCTAGCTAATTGTAAACTATTATTTAAAGGTCTACAAGAGGGAAATAAATATAAAATTAAATAATTGTATTGTTTTATTTTATTATCATGTAATTTTAGTACGTAGGAAAACTTATGGTCGCAATTATTATGTACATAGAATATATAATAAAAGTCTTTAATAAACAGGTTTTAGAAAAAACATTCAAGTATACAAAAATTATGTTAAGTACATATTGCGACATGTACAAGGAATCAAAATACCTAAATGTTAAATAACCTACTATCGGCCACTTTTTGGTGACCGATGGTGGGATATAACTTAATTTATACTTATACAATATATATATATATATATATATATATATATATATATATATATATATATATATATTATATACATATTATAAATAGAATAGAAGTTTTATAAACAATAACTTTTCTTATAACGGATAATAATCAACGGATAGCGACCTCGGTAGGTTTTGGTTTGTTTATCAGTGTGGTTTTTGAATTTTTTTTTAACTGGATTCAAGCCCAGAACCTCTTGATCAGTATTCACATTTACAATCACTAGACCAACGAGGCACTTTGGAAAAATATTACCAAGATTAACCAACTAGACTTGCAGTTGGTGCTAATAGCACCAAAAAGTAAAGACATAAAAATGCGCACATTATTATTATAGTATTGCGTATTAATTAGTTATTTATATGTCAATCATCGGTGTCTACGAAATCCTAATCTTAGCTTACATTCTACTTTTTACAAGTTATAGTGCAGTTATAATGCATGCAGAGTATAACTCGTTACATTGTTCGTGATTTTACAATCACAGAATGTAATCAAAGAAACATAATTATTATTTTATTTTAACAAAAAATGAGAAATAAAAAAGAATCCTAACTTTTATCCCTTGGTGCACCCCGAAGTTGGGATGCCGTTTTGTACATAACTGCCTAAATTTACATAAAAATGACGATTAATATTTTTATAGACGCTTGGTGACACGTGGTCTTTTGCTTACGAATTGAAAAAGCCGTAAAATAAACTAATAGTGATGTGCTCGCTCAAGCAACAGTTTGGCTCCTTGGACGCTTTAAGTGCTTGGAGTGCAAGCTGGAGTTGGTACCCCATCTTACGCATCTTGGCGTTGCGAGTATTCATTTTATTATTTATTGTAAATAATAAATGAAAAGAAAGATCAAAAAACAAAACAGAAGGAGCAGAGCAAGCCAATGTCGAGTTTTTTTATTTTTATTATTTGAAGATCTCAAACGAATTTATCGTTGGAATAATTCGAAAAGACACCCGCAAAGAAAATAATAATTCGAGAAATATTTACAATAGGTCTTTAAGTAATAAAAGGAATGATAAGGAATACAATGATTTTAAACAACGTTCGTTATCTGTCACTTTTAATTCAGCTATACATCTGAGTTTAAATATAATTTAACATAACATAACATAAACACTCACGCCTGTCACCCAGAGGGGTAGGCAGAGACTACAGACTTCCATTTGGCACGATCCTGACACACCTCTCTCGCCTCCTTCACATCCATACACCTCCGCATACATGCTCGTCGGTTAAGGGTACTCCTAATTTGGCCCGTTTTCAATAAATCGCCAATTTGGTCGATAAATTTTCGCCTAGGACGTCCCTTTCCGACTCTGCCATTCACTTCTGCAACATAAATTTTCTTTGTCACTCTTTCCTCATTCATTCTTTCCACATGACCAAACCACCGAAGCATTCCTTTCTTAATCCTGGTCACAACATCATCTTGCAAACCACACTCTTCTCTTATTACACAATTTCTTACCCTGTCATTAAGATTCAGCCCTAACATACTCCTTAACGACCGCATTTCTACTGCGTTCATTCTACTCTCGTGCTTCTTCTGCCACACCCAACTTTCACTACCATATGTTAAAGTAGGGACCAACACAGCATTGTGAATTGCCATACGTGCCTTTTTCGACACATTTTGACTCTTCACAATAGAGTGCAGGGCCCCATTTACTCTATTTCCCGCATTCACTCGTCGTTCTATATCCTTATCATATCTCCCATCCCTGCTAAATACGCAGCCCAAATATACAAACTCATCTACTTGCTCGATCAACTCCCCTTCTATTCTTATTTCACAAATCGTTTTACTTTCTTCTCTTTCAAAAACCATAACCTTCGTCTTACTTGCGTTCACTTTCATACCCCTTTCTTTTAATGATCTGTTCATTAATGTAACCATCATTTGCAACTCGGCCGCCGACGACGCAAGTATAACTTGATCATCGGCGTACAAAAGGCATTTGACGGTTAACTCACCCATTCTTAATCCGCATTCTTCAACTTTCAAATTTTGCAAACAACTGTCCATAAATAGGTTGAACAGCCACGGGGAAGCTACACAGCCCTGTCTGACACCTTTATGGATGTCAAACCAGTCCGAGTAGACCCCGTTGATCCTAACACAAGCACTAGAGTCCCTATAAAGGGACTCCAATGCCCGTATCAAGCCAGCGCTCAACCCAAATGAGTTCAGTGTTTGCCATAGCACATCCCTATTCACTCTGTCATAGGCCTTTTCCAAGTCCATGAACGCACAAAAAACCTTTTGGTTTTTGGCCAAAAACTTCTCCGCGATCATGCGCATGGAAAAGACTTGATCTGTACATCCCATTCCCTTTCTAAATCCTGCTTGCACATCCCAAATTTTTCCATCAGTTTCTTTCATGACCCTTTCAATCAGTACCTTAGCATACAGTTTTCCCACAATGCTAAGAAGGCTGATGCCACGGTAGTTTTTACAGTCCTGCTGCGACCCTTTTCCCTTATATACTGGGACTATCACGGCTTTGCACCAGTCTACCGGTACCCGCTTCAGTTCCCAGCATAAATTAAACAAGGTGTGCAGCAGGCCTGCCACCACTTCCTCTCCAGCCCTTAGCATTTCGAGTGAAACTCTATCATATCCGGCAGCCTTACCTGCTTTCATGCTTTTCATTGCTTTCATTATTTCACCTACACTAATCTCGCTACCTCTTTCCTCTTCTTTCGGAATTTCTACTTCACTTAGTACACACGTTGTCTCCTCACTCATAAACACACTTTCAAAATATTCCTTCCATCTCTTTAAACTCAAAACTTCATCATTCAGAATATAGCCATTCTCGTCTCTTATAGCATTCATCATAGGCTGTTTTGAATGTCCCCTGGCAGTTCTTACAAGTTTCCAGAACATTTTAATATTTGCCTGGAAATTATCCGATATTCTTCTATCATTCTTATCCGTTCTTTCTTGCTTTTTTCTTTCAACTACTTCTTTTACTCTCTTATTAAGATGTCTAAAGACTGCCTTTTTTCTTTCAATATCATCATTCGTACCGCTAGAATTACCAGCCTTTGTTGCTAGTAAATCTAGCCATGCTCTCTTCTTTGCTTCAACTTCCATACTTACCTCATCATCCCACCATAACGTATTATTTTTCCTTTCATTCTTTCTCTTACTAACACCACATACTTCGGTTGCTGCATCCACTAAACCTTTCTTTACATTTTGCCATACATTCTCCAAGTCTAACTCCTTCATACATAATTCATCCAAACCACTTATATTTTCTTTCAGTCTACATTTGAACTTCTTTTTCTCACCTTCATCTTGTAACCTTTCTGTTCTAATACGCTGTAACGCAGTGGTAGACACAGATGACCGATGGCGCCAACGCCTGAATAGACCATTAATTCGGCATAGAACCAAATAATGATCCGTTCCTACGTTAGAACCCCGGTAAACCCTTGTATCTACAACTGCGCCCCTCAATCTTTCATCCACAATTATTAAATCTATCATGCTTCTATCGTCACCTCTTTCCCAAGTATACATGTGAATCCTCTTGTGGCGAAAGCAAGTGTTCGTCACAAAAAGATTCTTTTCCATACATACGGTGAGGAGACTTTCACCATTCTCATTTATACTTTCATCACCAAACGTTCCCAATATCCTTTCATAACCAAGCCTCCTCACCCCAACCCTTCCATTAAAATCTCCTAGCATAATAATATTTTCATTTCCCTTACACTCCATTAACACCATCCTTACCATTTCCCAAAACTGCTCTCGGATATAAGTGGGCTTAGACATGTCTGAGGCGTAGACCCCTAACACAAACAACTTCTTTAAGCCCACTTTCATTCGTATCCACAGCAGTCTTGGGCTTACATTCATACTCTTTCACACATTGGCCCATTCTTTCTGAAAGGATGATACCTACTCCCTGGCATGCCCGCTCGATCTCGTCTACACCAGACCAGTATGCGGTATACATGCCATGTGTAGTGACATCCTTTCCCTTCCTTTTCGTCTCATTTACACATAACACATCTATTCCTCTATCATTCATCATATCGCATTCTTCATCCATTTTATCATTCATTGCCCCACATACATTCAACGTAGCCAGACGGACCTCTGCAATCCACTTTTCGCCTCTCCGGGAGACAGAACGTGACGGGTGGCGAACCTCGTCGCCGGTTTTCCTCCCGGAGATTCTTCGCACCCCTGCCCCATTAAAGGGGCGCCGGGAACTCGAGGCCATTTCTATTATATTGTTCCTCATGGTGCGGATAAAGGGTGGTATATTTTACGCCTCTACCAGGGCGTGGAGCCGAGTCTGTGCTATCGGCTTGTCGCTCATTTAGCACCACCCGGGGGACACGTGTAGGGTGGGCCTAGGAATAGGTGGTCAGAGCCTACGGACGCGAGCGACTTATCCCCCAACTTACTTATCAGCTACAAAATATAATTTGTAGCTGATAATCTCTACCATGTTAGAGTTTAAGTCTTACCATCTTCAATATTATATTTATAAGGAGCAGAGCAAGCCAATGTCGAGTTTTTTTATTTTTATTATTTGAAGATCTCAAACGAATTTATCGTTGAAATAATTCGAAAAGACACCCGCAAAGAAAATAATAATTCGAGAAATATTTACAATAGGTCTTTAAGTAATAAAAGGAATTATAAGGAATACAATGATTTTAAACAATGTTCGTTATCTGTCACTTTTAATTCAACTATACATCTGAGTTTAAATATAATTTGTAGCTGATAATCTCTACCATGTTAGAGTTATATCTTACCATCTTCAATATTATATTTAAAACTCTTTTGGACGTGTGTTTGTCTCCTTCGTAACTGCTGCACTGATTTTAATTAAATTTATTGTTTGTGTTTCATTGGGTACCTGGATAGTTTGGATTTACTACTGAATCCGGTACATATTGGTATCACCCGTGCATAACCGATATGCATTACTAGTTAAATATAAAAATATTTGATGTAAATGAGTCCAGCCACATCCGTGAAAGTGTTATTCGGTATCACTCGGTGATGTTTTAATATATTATGTAATTCAATTAAATAAATAAAAAGTATGGGGATTTTGAAAACTCAGCAAGCAAAAGCAGAAACAAAAACAATGCAGATCTTTTATGTAGATACTGAGTAATTACTCAAGAAAGACAATCAATACAATGGCTCTTGCTTATACGTTATCACTGTTATTTATTCTGTGGTTTTAGTCAGCATTCATTATCAGTAACACACATTTGAAACCGTCGCACTGCACTCAACAATCTCAAGAACTGCTACATTCTTGTACTCACTCTTATGCAGGTACGTAAATAGGTTATAATAATCTTGAGTTTTTGATTAACGTACATTTTCTGTACAAAACTACAGCTCTTTAACATACAGCATGTATTTAAGCATGTGCCATTTCAGGTGATCGGCATGTAAACGCAACGAAGTGGCGGCGGCGGCAGTGCTTAAGATCTCTCACGGTACCTTTGATTTGCGCCCCTGCAAAAACACAGACTGTCGGCTCGACCAGGGAAAAACCACGCTCTCTCATAACACTGGCGTAAAATAGCAGCTTAACGTTTCTGTGATACTTATTGTTAGTTTAAAAAAAAACAGGAAACTATTTTTACTGGATACGGGGCATTGCATTTCATTTATTGCGTCCTTAGGAGTTACAACGCTTCTGCATTTAGGTACATAAATAAATATAGATTTCTATGTGCCCCAATACACACCATTAGGTGAACATATTCTATAAAAATAGTCGGATTTGCTGCGGAGTACAATTTTTCTAAGCCAGATTTTGAAAGTTTCAATGTCCTTTTTACCGAAAACAAGACATTATTGCATCTTAGTACTCAGGCAACTGCATATTGTGTCTTTATCAAATATGGACGTAGATATATAAAATCCATGGCTCATGCCATAGAATCTTCTTACCATCAAGTGGGCTATGTGCTCATTACACCCTTATTCAAACAGAAGAAAGTTAATTAATAGAAACAGGCGTTGATTTGCATAGGAGGTGTTCTTCAAACTAGATGAGTCACATCATTTTATTTTATTGAGCGAATATGTGCAACGTAATTCTTACCAACTTTAATTAAAAAAGAAAGTTAGCTCATTTTAGGGGAAATTTTAATTTACATTTTTTTCGTTATTGTATTTATGATTTACGTTTAACTCATTCAATTATCATCATAATCGTCATTAAAGCCCACTATAAGTCCAGTGCAGAATATTGGCCTGCGCCAAAGAATGCCACAGCGCACGATCCTGAACCATCTGCATCCATCAACTTCCTGCATCTCTTACCAGGCTCCATCTAGTGGAAGACTGATCAACATTTTTACGAGGCTGTTACTGTTATAACCTTTTATATTAAATTAAATTTATATTATTTTATATTAAATTATTATGTATAAATACATAATAATTTAATATAAAATATTTATTTTATATTAAATTATTATGTATTTATATTATGTATATTATACATATATAATATTATATAAAATAACATTAAATCTGTATTTACATGTAAGCCCTTTTTGGATCGAACAGGAATTTGTATACGTTGTATTCTATGTCAAATTGTTGAAAAATATTACGACTCCGTAACACTTTTTAACAGTTAGATTTCTTTAATCTCAACTATGGTTACATAAAATTAGTTTTTTCGGATTTTATCGCATATATAAACATATTTTACATTCTTGACGTTTTGTGCTCTTTACACCACCTATGGTCACGGGGAAGGGGGGAGACTAACAAAAAAGTGATACAAAAATAATCAAACTAAAAACTCAAATTATCATACAATCTTATTCGTCGTGGTATAGAGCCAAAACTATTTCTGTGTTTCGTCACTGAAAACTTAGCCTTTGAGTGAAAAAAAAAAACTCTCATTCAGACTGCACGTCAGAATTGAAAACTTCTTAGTGTCACAAAGTTGTAAAAACTATTTTTGGGTTGTTAAGAAATATTTTTAAATTGTAGTTTTTTTATAGTGTATTCCGAAAGATATTTTCATTTCAAAAAATTTCGTTTCGGAACTTCCCTTCTTGTCATTAGCAGCGGCGATAAGTCACGGATGCAGTTCATTTAAGAACTTCACCTCACATGGACACCACGGACTGTGGTGTCACTCAGCAAATTCTCAACAGCAAATGTCACAAATATTTAGTCATTTCTCAGACGATATTCTTTGTAACAGTAGTAGTATTTCAGTAAAGGTAAATAGGCATGCAATTTAAAAAATAGTCTTCGTTGTCGAAAAACCATAACTTTAAGCTTCAATTCATTTTTTAAAACATGCTGGAAATAATCGGCTTGTTGATATGGAGGATATGTTCAACGGAATTGAAACATTTTATTTATTAATGCTACAGCAGGTTCATGTTTGTTAATAGTGTGTAACTTTAAATTTTATTTGTACAAAAAAAACAAAACCATTCGTTTGTAAGTTTCACGTGGTGCATTTCCATAAGAGTGACTCGCAACGATTTTCACAGACGAATAGCTACAGCCTGCAAGCAACGCGACGGTGACTAGCAACCGGCGCAAAGACTAGCTGTTAAAATTATTACACTAATGGTGGGCCTTTGAATTAACGAACAATTTATGTATCAGAAACGAATAAAGTGTCCTCCATTGATTAAAATATTGTGCCACTAACTAAAAACTGTCTCATAATCATCATTACAGCCCTTCAAAAGTCCACTGCTGAACATAGGCCTCCCCCAAGTAATGCCACAAAGCACGGTTCTGAGCCACCTGCATCCATCGACTTCCTGCATGTCTTACCAGGTCGTCACTCCATCTAGTTAGAGGTAAAAAAACTGTTTACTAAATTATATTAATATTAAATTGACAAGTGAAGGTTTTTTTAAATAGAACCTATCAAAATATTTGTATGTTGAATGCTGTTTTTTCCGCAAATAAATTATATTAAAAATCTTAAATGTCGTCATTATAAGGTAGCGTAGGTAATGCTATCTTAAACCATCATTGTTAGAAATCCATCAATCAAGTTTAACGATAATAAAAAATAAACGGGTTAATAAAATATAAAATAAAGTTTAGAGACAGAACTTCGACCTTTCTTTCACTGTTCTTGAAAAAAAAATCAGTCCCATCTTGAAGGAGTAAACAGGATAATATGAGATGCTTACATCGTCAATTTTTTACAGGTTGCTCTCGGCATTTGTAGCATTCCTTGGGGCGTTTGTAACATTCCTTGCGGAGGCTTATACTTAGCAGTAGACTTGTGCAGGGCAGTAATGATAATGATGATGAATACTGATCGCAAATCTACCTACATAGTGTGGTAAATATGACAAATCGTTGAAAGTTTCGTCAAATAATAATAATAAATACTTCCTTGCAGGCCCTAATTTGTTACAGATAAACAGAAAAAGCCTTAAAATCTATGTTAGTTAAAGTAGGTAATAAATTAAATAAATATAACTTTAAATAGTTGAGGTGCCTCTCCGAGGCACAGGTTACATGGACATGAACATGTCCCCAGTGCCTCAACAAACACATTAAGATTTTTTGCTAATTACATTAAGAAGGCTATTAGCGTTAGAAACGCAGTTATTTTGCAAATAAGTGTCAAAAAATTGTCTACTTGGGCTTCAACAAACATACCTGATGAACTACAGAAACGTAGGAGCCCCATAAATAATCTGAAACCGTTATTATATTGTATACGTAGGGTGTTGTATGCCTACCGCGTAAATCTGATCCACAAGGCGGCAGTTAGAGGGATTGGCAAT